TGACGGAACATCTCCCCGTAACCTCCCACAAGGGATACGAATCTCTCCCTTCACAACGCGCGATCGCGTGCGGCGCGCGCGACACGCCGTTCGGGGAGAAGATACCAGACTTTCTGTTTGACCGGAAAATCATATCCCCTTGTCTCCTGTACCAGAACATCCCAATTTGGAAGAGATGAGGGCAGCAGACCAACTTTAATACGAAGACGAGAAATGCTCAAAGTGAGTCGTCCAATGCGATTAATAAGGTGCAGGAGATAAAATTACTTCACGATTTTCAATTAATTCACGATTTGACGAACGCCCTACTCACTGATTACTTCAACCATTTCGTCCTGATGCCGGCCACTAAGCCAATTCTGGTCGTTCGCCTTTTGAGAGATAGGTAACATAGAGTGTAAGACTGGACTAGCTGAAAGATAAGTGCACTCAGAATTCAAGGATTAGCAAAGCGTAGAAGGAGTGGTCCCCTTACAATCCTTTCCCCACCCACCGACTGTATCCCTATTACTCCTACATTACTCATGCTCTACAGAAGAAATGCTGAGACCTGGCTTAAGGGGAAGAGGATCACGTTTCCATCGGAGTTTGAGTGGGCGTATGGACCCCAGTTTTATCTGAGCCCTCCCTTCTTTGTCCCTGTTCACTCTGAACAGAGAAATCGTATACACATAGAAATAGGAGTAAAAAATTTGAGTGAGGTATGTCTTTGTCGTTGACGGTAGCGTGATCAATCCCCAAAGACCCTCATAACTAAAGACATGAATGGAAGGAGAATATGTGATCTCCTCGCTTATCTCTCAAACACCGAGATATATCACCGCATTGACAAAACTGTAGCTCCATTTGATTTTGGCCAGCCGGTATAAAATGAAAAAATAGGTTTCCTGTGATCTCTGGCATTTTTCGTTAAACGTCGCCGAAGTCAACAAGCCCGGCGGAAAGCGTGAATGATGCATCCGATAAAGAAAATGCGCTTATCCTCTGGAATTATCTTTTTTATGATTATTCTGTGTAAATCCCTTTACATTCGAATGTATCGGTAGCGATTTTTACGGATCGCTGTTTTTCTATATGAATTGTTTATTAAGTGGGCGGGGTTTAGAGTTGAGGGGCGGAGCTTCTTCTTAACTTCTTCTTCGAAGTTTAATTTACCCATCCATCAAGTTAGAGGGGTGACTGCATTCAATTTCGATTTTTTCCAATTCATTTTTCACCGGTAGGTTCACCCGCTCTTATCTATGGGATTTTAGGGTATTTCCGTGAATTTTTGAAGCTCTAGGGTCTCCTATCTGCAAACGTATATCGCCCTTTATATCATGTGGTAACTTTGTTGCCAAAATCGTTTCTGCAGTGCCTCCATCCTCTATCCAGCAGCCACCACAGACTAAGAATTACATGTAGATTATGAATTAATAATAGGTTTTCCTCGAAATAGAAAATAAATCACTTTACACATGGATTTTAGAATTATTTGCTTTAGATTACAGACATGACTGAAATTCCAAAGCTTTCCGTTTCACGCGTTTGATATAAGCAGCCGTTGGAAGCCCACCCAAGGGGGGGGGGGTAGATTGAACTCGAGCATACATGCGTATATCACATTTTCGTGGAACATTCAGGGGAATACTCCGCCATGAGAGTCCCAGCGAAACCATCCCATGTGATCTTGATCTACATCCCTTTTTAATCCATTTCGATTTAACTTCGGCATGATTATGTACATCGTGTTGTGCGTGTTTACAAAACAGAACGATGTACGAAGAACCGCTGGGGTAGGTTCGAATCCGAGCTTGAACCTTCAGGTTTGCATTGTTTTTACATTTGTTTCATGTGTATTCGCTAGTGTGAGACCTGAGCACAAACTATCTCAGACATAGCAATTTTTGAACGCCCTGAAAGGGCAGCGTGGGTCGGTGGTGGGTGGCAAGGACAGAGCTGCTCTGGTTTTAGGCATAACTTCTTTCAAATACGACATGCTGTTCAGTGAGTCTAAGAATGGGGTCCAATGGGTTTGTCCTATCATCAAGGCTGATAACATTTGTGACTGCTTTGTGTGACTTGTGATGGTCGTTCAGAGTTTCGACCCAATACTCTAAATTTTGCTACTTACTAGGGCTGTAGGATGTATCTGTCCGTGGTGAACAGGAACAAGTAGGGACCTATTCAGTTCGAACGGAGTATCATACGCTCGGTCACCTCGTTCCGCCGGGAGAACCATCCCTTCCTCTTGAGCCAAGGCTCGCAAACGCGAAGAATATGGTAGTACTTACTTACAAACAATTATTACTGCACTTCCGAGAAAACTGAGTTTGACTGGGGTCACTATTGAAAGGTGGTGATGGTTCTACGGACAACCGGTGATCAGATAGATAAGAGCCCACAATTTTTGTGCGGCTCTGACTTGCAGAAAAAGGAACCCTCTGCTGGAAAGCTCGATTCGGATAGCAACACTTCTTTTGGCGTTAATCAACCCTGTCTGAGGGATGCGGCCCGCACTCGCCTCCTCGTCAAAATAGCAGTGGTGCTTTAAAAGCCTATGTGACCATAGGCTGATGTACAAGCCGGTACTTTTATCCTCCCAGACGAGTCTTGTACTGGTCAGCGACAGAGGGATGATCTGCACTCCTTTTTAATCCATTTTGATTGAACTTCATCATGACTGTGTGCACCGTGTTGTGTATCTTCACAAAACAGGACGATGTACGGAGCGCCGCTGGAATAGTTTCGGATCGTGCTGTAGCCATCAGGTAACCATTGTTTTTGTTTTTGCATCGTGATGTTTTCGGCTTCATCTCAATTCAATAGGGCTACCAGACCTCGGCAGTCTTGACAACATGGAAATTTTTGAACGCCCTGAAAGGGCAGTAAGCGTCGGTGGTGGTTACTGGTAGGGCGATCTTCTCTGTTTATTGGTATACCTGTTCTCCACTACGACATGGCGTTCAGTGTGGAAAAGGGGGTTCGTTGGGATCATCGGACCATCGTCCGCTTACAGCGCTAGTGAATACCCCGAGTAACTTGTAATGGCCGTCCAGGGTTTCTACCCAATACCATAATTTCTGCAGTGCTGATTAGTGCTGTATGATGTATCTGTCCGTGCTGAACAGGAACGTTGAAGGACCTATTCTGTCCAAACGGAGTATCGGATGCTCGGTCATCGTTACTACAGGTTCCGCTGGAGGAGCCATCCTTTTCCTCTTGAGCTAAAAGTCAG